ACACTGCACCCTCTCAAGTCTGTGGTGAATCCAGAACACGTTTTGTTCTGCACTAACTGACGGGATTTTGAAGCAGCAGACTCGCTGGCCTCGCTCTTTCTCCTCCCCTCCCTGCACCCACGAAGCTATCGCCCCCGCTACCGCACACCCACTGTTGTTTACGGAGCTAGCGTCTCCCAATATGGATAAGTACATGGATTTGCACAAGGATGGCGCGACCATAGAACGATGGAACCGGGAATCGCGGAGGAACGGGATGGGTGTTTCGCTGAGTAAGCAGTAACCGGTGACGAAGACAAGGAAGCTTCAGGTTAGCCTCCGCCGCTTGTTGTGCTAACTCAGCTGTCTGTGCTAATGACGGACCTGTAGATTTCTCACGAAAGTGGGGGCTAGTGGTGCGCTGTGATTGGTCACAATCGAAACACATTCTCTTCCCTGTTTCATCAAAACTCGATCTAAAATGTAATGTCACGCCAGCACAAACCTGCGCTACTTTTTCTTCAAAAGGACGTATATCCCAATGCACTAGATGGACATGGAAAGCATTTTCGTAATGAATACAAAAATAGTCAGTTAGTGCAGCTTTATATAACAACTAGAGGCTCGCTGCACTCGGGAAATCCACCATTGTCTCTGGACTATACCGGCAGCAGATAAGCTCCTCCCACCCGGCGTCAGGCGCGTCAGAAGCTTCAAGCACCACAAAACCGTTTTGAAGCTTTTGGTCTGAACGCACCTTTAAGTCAGACTATTCGTAGGAACGCATTCCTGCATTTCTACCGTTTGAGCCTGGAGTGCTGTTGCGCTCTTCTTCCTTTTGAGGCTGGGAAAGCGGACACTTCTGTTTATCTTTTTTGACCAATTCTCTTCATTGATCAATTCTCTTTATCAATGAAATAAGTTGGGATAAACTGCAGATCTGAGAATTCCAACGTTATCTTGCTGAAAATACAGTTTCTGTGAAATGTGTGACTGCGGGCTGTACGTACTTGAACTGGATCCACATCCTCGGTTCTGACCTCGGGAGGCGCTTTGTTATGTCAGCTCATTGAACACACAGCCGTAACGGGGTCATGTACCGAGCACGAACCATAGACGTGCGGACAGGACCGTCCCCAGCTTGTTGCACATGCAGGTCTTCCCGTGTCTCCCCATGTCTCCCCCGTGATTCCTCCCGAAGCGCACCAAAGCTCACTGAATTAATGATCGGGTACCTACATTTTCGCTTGCATTGACAATGCATGTTATTTGTTGTATAATTGTATAATTCTACTGAAGGTGAGCTGATGGAGCGAGCGTGCGGTAAAGTTGTTGGCGTATGAGCAAGAACACAGAGACATATAGGGAATACCGAGTTGCTTTCAGTTGTATGCACAGATTTTGATAGTTTGGTTATTACAGGTGATTTTAATATTCATGTGGATAATGTTGATGACAGAAATGCAAATGAGTTGAGTTCTGTACTTGAATCCTTTGATCTCACTCAGCACGTAAGTGGCCCCACCCACAGCAAAGGGCACACTCTAGATCTGTTAGTTACAAAGGGGGTGAATATTTCAAATGTAAACGTGGTCGATGTTGCTCTTTCGGATCATTTCTGTGTTTTTTTTGACATGCGTTTCACTAACAAACCACCAGTGGACTCTGCAACTGTTCGAAGAAGGCGCATAAATGAAAATACGAGAACTATTTATGGGAATGATAAACTTTGAGAATGCATCGTATTCTACTGTAGATGAACTGTTTAACTCTGTCACCTCTAGTGTTTTGAATGTTCTGGATACCGTTGCCCCTGTGAAGGTTAAAATAGTGAAAAATAAGCAGAAGGCGCCGTGGGCTAAAGCAGACTCGGTCAGAGCACTGAAGAGAAAGTGCCGGAGGGCCGAGCGGAAGTGGCGCAAGTCCAACCTCCAGGTTGATTACGAGATCTTCAAAGATAAGTTGTGCGAGTTTAACCGGGTGCTACGTAGTACGAGAGAAAGGTATTTTTCTGAAATGATTGAAGGCTGCAGCAACAATTTGCGTGTTCTGTTCTCAACAGTTAATAGATTAACAAACCCCCCTGTTCAAATGCCATTAGAGCTTACTTCCAAACGTAAATGCAATGAGTTTGCTCATTTTTTCAATGACAAGGTTCAAGGCATCAAAAACGATATTGTCTCCAATCCACAGATAACCATCCAACAGCCAGAAAGGCTCTCTGAGCTAACTCACTTTGCACCTGTAAATGATAAAACTGTCCAAGAGATAATCTCCAGTTTGAGCTCCTCCACATGCAGCTTGGATGTACTACCCACTAGATTTCTAAAGTCTGTTCTGAGCAGTCTGTTACATTCACTCACACAGATAGTAAACATGTCCCTTCATTCTGGAATATTCCCAAAGGCCCTGAAAACTGCAGTCATCAGGCCCCTGCTAAAAAAGAGCAGTCTCGATGCTACGGTACTTAACAACTATCGTCCCATCTCAAATCTGCCATTTATGGGGAAAGTCCTTGAGAAAGTTGTCTACCTACAGCTTACTAGATTTCTTATAATCAACAACTCATTTGATATGTTTCAGTCCGGCTTTAGACCCCACCACAGCACTGAGACTGCTCTCGTTAAGGTTACAAACGATATCCGGCTGAACACTGACGCAGGCAAAGTCTCAATCTTAATCTTGTTAGATCTAAGTGCTGCCTTTGACACCGTCGACCATGAGATCCTCTTACAGAGATTAGAGGACTGGGTTGGAGTCGCTGGCACCGCCCTAAGTTGGTTTAGGTCTTACCTTGAGGACAGGAAGTACTTTGTGGAGATTGGAAACTGTGTCTCAGATCATATGGCCCTGACCTGTGGAGTACCACAGGGGTCGATCCTGGGACCTCTTCTGTTCAATCTCTACATGCTGCCGTTAGGTCAGTTAATACGCAGAAACGAAGTTTCCTATCATAACTATGCAGACGACACTCAGATCTATGTCTCACTGACTGCAGGAGAACATGGACCAGTGGACTCACTCCTTCACTGTATCCAACAGATCAGTGAGTGGATGCAAAACAACTTCCTTCAGCTAAACGCAGACAAAACTGAAATGATTGTCTTTGGTCCCCAGAAACAAAGAGAGAGCGTCATCTGTCACCTACAGTCTCTCTCCCTAAAACCTTCAAACAAGGTCAGAAATCTAGGGGTAATACTGGACTCAGACTTAAATTTTAATAGCCACATCAAATCAGTAACATCAGCAGCTTTTTACCATCTAAAAAACATTGCCAGGATCAAAAACATAGTGTCTAAAGCAGACTTGGAGATTCTTATCCATGCATTTGTCTCCAGTAGGTTAGACTACTGCAATGGCCTGCTCACAGGTCTGTCCAAACAGGCTGTAAAACAGCTGCAGTACATTCAAAATGCAGCAGCTCGAGTCCTGACTAGAACCAGGAAGTACGACCACATTAGTCCAGTTCTCAGGTCTCTGCACTGGCTTCCTGTGGCTCAGAGAATAGACTTTAAAACAGCTCTGCTTGTGTACAAGTCTCTCCATAGCCTCGCACCAAAATATATTAGTGACATGTTAGTCCCCATATGAACCAGCCCGGACTCTGAGGAGCACAGGGACTGGACTCCTGTTAGTGCCCAGAGTCAGAACTAAACATGGGGAGGCTGCTTTTCAGATTCATGCTGCTAAAATCTGGAACAGTCTTCCTGAAGATGTGAGACAGGCCTCCTCTCTGACAATGTTTAAAACCAGGTTAAAGACAGTTCTGTTTAACTGTGCATACAACTGAGGGATTTTATATTTCTATCTTTCTTTTTAATGTTCTGTGATAATTTATGATTTTAATGCTTTCTTGTTTTGTTCAGCACTTTGAATTGCCTTGTGTATGAATTGTGCTATATAAATAAACTTGCCTTGCCTTGCCAATAAGTACCTTGTCTGATTATTTTATTGTGACAAAATAAAGCCCACGACTCTTTTAGCAACAAACCGGAGAAATAACTCCGCAGATAACAGTGAGGGTCTTTGAAAAGGGAGTTAAACCCATTATAGATGCATGAATAAAACCCCGTACTCAACACGTAGAAAGCGCATCATTTCAGCCGTGGAAAGACTCGCTCTGTGTGGACCCCTCTCAGCGTCATCGTCTGGTCTACAGCAGATTGGATTGGAATGTCTCGATGGCTCATTTTCCTTTGATTTATTATAAAAACGTATTGCTCACATTATTTGTTACTATGTCGAAATAAGAAGTCGTTTGATTTAAATGTTGTATATATGTCAATTGAATTTAACATAAATAAATAAAAAGACAGCTCCTCCCTGCGTCCTACGACCGCGGTCTGGGGCTTAAACAGGAAAGTTTTACAGAATCAATCAAACAACATTATTTCTGGCTACTTCAAGGATGCAGTGGTCACTGTAGGCAATATCTTCACATAATCTGTGTCCAGAGACCGTTCCAGACAACAACACATAAGAGTTTTCAACTGCACATGCGCAGTTGAAAACTCGTAATTTTGACTTTTAAAGTCGAAATTTTGACTTTTAAAAGTCGTAATTTTGAGTTTTAAACTCAAAATTTTGACTTTCTGTGCTTTTTTTTTTTTACATGGCGGAAACGGGCTTCCATACCTTTGGATATTAGTTTGCCATGATGTATTTAACACGCCCGAGGGAGACGGTAGTATTTAGCCTAGCCATCTCCTTTGCCGTGGGGAGTAGCGCCACAATCTTTGCCAGCAATTACATTTGCTAAACATTCCTCTTGCTCCGGCTTCAGAAATGTTTACTTTACTTTATGCCATTGCAAATTTGGTGCAAACTCTTGATGTCACCGACATCTATCTACAACACCCGCTTCCCCCGCTCACTGGTTGGATGGATGGGATACAACCGGGATAACTGCAGCCAAAAGGACCAGACTCCGATGTACATGTACTGTAGCCTCACAGATCATGGACCAGGACCAGGCCCTTTGCTGGTACTCACGCTGATGCAGTCTCGGGTCTCTTCTGCAGGGGGCGTTCAGTCGTCTGGATCCAACCGGAGCTTTTGAGGAGTCGATGCTCGGGCGCATCCCGGCTGGCCGCCTTGGGACACCAGCAGAGATCAAGAACCTGGCTCTGTACATGTGCAGTGATTACGCCACCTGGATGTCTGGAGCGGTACTGACACAAATGAACATTGACTACGCCACTTGGTTGTCTGGGGTGGTTCTGACGCACAGAAATGCACACAGGTGTAATGTCCTTTGTCTCCTGCAGGTGGTGCGGTTGGACGGGGGCGAGTATGTGTCGATGGCCGGAGAGTTCAATGACCTTCGCAAGGTGATAACAAAACATGTTAACAGGAAAACACTAATGCTCGCCTGATAATTCTAATACCAGCCTGATTATGCCAGCCCTATTCAATTCATTTTTTTATAACCCTAATTCACAACAGTAGTTGTCTCGGAAGATTTTAAAATGTTGTCGTATGCTATGTTAAAATATACATAGGAGCTATTAGTCCATAGGAGCTATTAGTCCATAGGAGCTATTAGTCCAGAGGAGTGGGATGACCACTGTCCAGTAAAAAACTGTAAACAGCCTCCTAAGGCTAACACTTGATTGTTCATGCTCACACTAGTTTGTGTTCCCGCAGGTTACCTCAGAGCAGTGGGATCTGATAGAGTCGATGATACGAAAAACTAAAGGCTCCTAATCGAGAGCTCCGTAATATCATCTGTCCCAAATCAGAGAGCTCTGTAGTGGTGTCATCACTCCTGACCACCAGTGAGAACTCCGGGTGGCCATGGTCTCAGGTTGTGGGGGCAGTGTTTGTAAATATTCAAAATAAAAGCCTTAAAATAAAGTGTCTGCAAAATATGTGCGTGTTTTAAAAGAATTGTATGTGCGTAACAATATTTGTGTGTGTAAAAAATAAAAGTCTACGTTTTACACACATCTTTTGATACTGTCCTGCCTCGGAAGATTACAAGTTTAATTTGACATTTGTATCTATGTAACGGAACAATCTGTATGTAAATAACCATGTTGTGAGAAGAGAACGGATGAAAGCGCTACGCACAGTCTCTCCTTTCCATACAAATCTTTTGACAGTTCTGTTGTTAGTGTCTCTGGAGAGAACCACATTAGTTCTTCCCACTGTAACCCATGTAATGCCATGGTTACAATACAACACAATACAAATTATTCTTGTATAGCCCTAAATCAGAACAGCAGTCATCTCAGAGGACCTAACAAAACCATTGAACTCACCAACACAGATCAGAAAATCAACAGTTAAGACACAACAAATATAAAAAACATGTATTGGTCCGTAGGGAGAGAGCATTGTTCAAGAATGTTGATAAATGTCTATACATGTTGTAGAATGTCCTGGATCATCAGTCCTTCTTGTTAGACACTAACTGTCCAACAGACCCTCCTGTATGACCACATACCACATACTGACCACAGTCAAAATCCTAATAATGCACAGATATAGTGGGAAGGAGGAGAAGATAGTGCTCAAGTTACCATACGCAGCTTGACTGACAATCTTAGATTTTAGCCTTCCCTGAGTCTTACCTTCCTAACCATATGCTAAACTGAAGAGGACTGTTTTAAGCCTAGCCATGAATGTAAAGACCATGTCTGCAGCCACGGCTAGGCTAGCCCAGGCTACAGCACCAAAGAAAGTGTGTAATCTACGATGTATAGTTGAGGATATATAGGTGAGGTTCGAGTTGAAAGTTGAAAGATGCATCGGTTCACCGGACCAGGTCCCGTTCAAGCAGACTCCAAAACGAGACAAACAACCTAACCAGACAAACCTATGCATATGCAAATTAAGGATGAGTCTTTTAAGCCTGGTCTTGAATGTGGAGACTGCGTCTGCTTCCTTAAGGGCGGCACGGTGGATGAGTGGATAGCACTCTCGCTTCTCAGCAAGAAGGTCGGAACAGGGCCTTTCTGAGTGGAGTTTGCATGTTCTCCCCGTGTCTGCGTAGGTTTCCTCCGGGTACTGCGGTTTCCCCTACCACTAAAAACGTGTACAATTGGTCTAGCATGCGCCTCTTGTACTGGCACCCCCGCTCCCATCTCTGTGTGGTTGTAAACCGCTTTGAAAGGCGGTAAATAAATAAAGATTACTTACTTACATACTGGATGTGGCTGGGAAGCTGATTCCATAGTAAAAGAGCTTGGTAGCTATATGACTGACCATGTCACGTCCATGCCATGCAGTTAGTCAGTCAATGATTATTATAGTAATGTACAATTGGGTATAATGATGATTAATGCATAGTCATTTTTGTCATCAGTGGCATAGCCAGAAACTTTTTGAGGGGTGCACCTGCAAGGGAATTTTGTAGGAGGTACATAGATTGAAAAAATGTTTTATTTTGTTTTTGGATTTCTCACGAGGTAGGCCTAAGGCACGACGTTGGATGGCGATGTGGAAGGCCACGCCACAGACAACGTATTTTTCTAGCTTCTCCAAGGTGATGGGGGATGCAGTACACTGGAACCCGATAAGAGCCTTTATCTGTGCCTGGTGATGGTGGCTCCTCCAGGGGCTGGAATGGCTCATTCCATGGGCAAGAATGAGCTTCAAACCAGCTAAGTCCAGGTCTTTAGTCCTTAAAAAAGGATAAGTCTCCGACCAGTTCCATTTCACTGTTGGCGGGACAAGGATTCCTTCAGTGACAGAAAGACCTGTCAAGAGCCTGGGCAAGCTCTTCAATCGCTCCTCAAAGGATAGAGCAGCTTTGCAGCAAACAAAGACAGATCTGACATCTTGGCTCACAACCATCGACAAATCTGGTCTCCCAGGAAAATTCAAAGCATGGATGTACCAGCATGGAGTCCTGCCGAGATTACTCGGGCTCCCTATAATCTATGAGGTACCAAAAACAACAGTTGAGGTACTGGAGAAGACCATCAGCCAGTTTTTTAGAAAATGACTGGGTCTCCCTGAGTCCTTGAGCAGCATTGCCCTTTATGGTCAATCCACCATGCTGCACCTTCCTCTTATGGGACTGTCGGAGGACTTCAAAGTCACCTAAGCCAGAGAGGAAATGATGTACAGGGACTCTGCAGATGTCAAGGTCGCCTCAGCAGGGATTATCATCAAGCCTGGGAGAAAGTGGCAGGCACAAGACGCTGTGAGCAAATCCCAGGTTGCCCCAAAGAAGGCAATCACTTGAAAGCCAACATCCGCTCACACTCTTCAGGAGGACTCCTCTCCACTGCTCGTGACTGGCAGCTCCAAGTGGATCTGGGAAGGAAACTTATAGGCCAAACAAGGTCAGGTGCGCTCGGGGAACCAGGCCCCTTAATGAAAAAGTGGGCTACTGGAACAAGGTGAAAAGTGGTCGAGATCTGATAACAGGGCTCTGTTGTAATGGCTACTACTCGGAGTAACCCTGGCAAAGAGGTTACATGCAGAGATTGTGGAGGATGGTTACTTCGAAAAACCCACAGTCTACCAGTTGGAAACGAAAACAACCGTAGCTCAATGCTCCTAACATCCACAATCGGCAACTGCTATCACAGCTTGAGATCTGATGAGGTACAACACATGTATGATGCCCAATGGTGCTCAACAGTTACCCCCCCAGAGGTCAGAGGGGGTCCCCACCAACTGCAATTCCCCAACCGATTTGGGCACAAGCCAATGGAACCAATAACGCTGAACGGGCAGCGACTGACCTGAAGCTAAAATCATGGCTAAAATGGGCACAGGCAAAGGACACCGGTTACAGCGGATGTGTAAGTACGCACCTAAGGATCTCATTAGAAATACGTGAATGCAGCAGTGAGGGCAATACCTACAACCACCAAATCACTGAAACCAATGAGCTGATATACACTTTCAGACAGCAGTGATCCTAGAGTTGTTGGCTATAAGAGCAACCATGGGAGCCATGGACAATACCCACCATTGGGAAAAGGACGGATGGAGGCTGAGATCAAGGTGGCTCGGAGCGAAGTGAGTCACATTAACAGAGGCCCAGAGATGGTGCAATATGAAAAAGACAGTACCGAAGTACAGCCAGCATAACCATACCTGACAGCACTGTCGAACTGCCAAACAAATGCTCCAGCCCTGGCATGCCGCCTACAGAGGTACACTAAAGAGATTGAAGCCAGAAGGGTGAACAGGCTGTTCGCAACAACCTGCGAAGGTGTTCGCCTCTGGTGGCAGGGTAACAACAGGTGTAAAAACAGGGTAGCAACAGGGGAGCAGAACCACGAGGCTGGCAAAACTGAAACAGTTCTGGAAGATAATATGGGAGAAGGATGCAGACATAACAGCAGTGCACAATGGCTGGTGTCCCTGGAGAGGAGCACTGCCACCTCCCAGAACAGAACTCAGTTACCATCACAGAGGCTGGACATCCGGGAAAGAGTCTCATGTATGAAAAACTGGACAGCACCTTGGCCCTGATATGGGTCCATGCCTACTGGCTAAGGACACTCACCATCACTCATGAGCGCCTCGCAGCACAAATGGACCAGCTGCTGAGAGATGGGTCTCACCAGAAATGGCTAAACCGAAGGGCGGACTGGCCTGATCCAGCAGTCCCCTCAACTTACGGCCCAATAACGTTGTCTCTCCACAACATGGAAGCTCTGTCAGGTGCCCGCCCCCCCCCCCCCCCCCACCCCCCCCTGGCCCCCCCCCCCCCCCCCCCCCCCCGAAGCCCCCCCCCCGGGGCTTTCATTGCGGCTAAAGATAAGTGGGCATATGGAAACATTTCATGTGCACAGCACAGAAGGGCATTGGTAGGGACACCAGAGGAGCCAATCACAGCCTCCTGTAGAGACACCAGAGGAGCCAAAACAAGCTCCTGGTTGACAGAACAGAAAATGTAGCAGGATGGTGTCTCGGAGAGACAAGGTAGTCACACAGGAAAGGGATCTCTCTCCCAGAGGGAAACAATAGCAGACGTTGGAGGGAACAGTTACTAGTATCTCGGTATACCACAGGCAATGGCAACCTCGAACAGGCAAACGAGAAAAGCGGCAACTGCAAATTACTCCAGGAGTAAGGCAGGTCCTAAGAAGCCGGCTCAATGGCAAGAACAAGGCTCGGGCAAAATTAAACAGTCGCCCTGCCAGTGTCAGTACCTGCAGAATAATCAGGGGACCAAAGGAAGTGATTCAGACCACGGATGTTAAAACTCGAAGTCTCCTTACCAGCATTGCGGGGTTACATCCCAAATCCTGCACCTGAGGACTGTACGTAAGCGTAAAGAAGGAGGCCGAGGATAGTGAGTGTGAGTGCACTGTCCACAGACGAAAAATCCAAAATCCATAACTACATCATGGAGAGGCCAAATCGGATGTACGTACTCAGTGTATGTCTCAGGCAGTGGCGAGATGAAGGAGGTGCTGGAGGAGAGCCCATCATGGTGAGAAACAAGCCCTACTCGGCATGTACCACCGGAGCATAACAGAAGTGGCTGATCTCAAGGATGTCTACCAATGGCTAGAAAGGGCTGGGCCTTACAGACAGCAACAGCGGCTACTCATCATGGCTGCACAGGAACAGGCCACTGTGCACCAGAGCGATAGAGGCCCAGATATCCACTCAGACAAGACCCAAGGTGTCGGTAGTGAAAGAGGCACCTGAAGGGGTTGGGGAACCCCCCCCAACTCCAACAAACTGCGGGTGCAAGATGCTGGCAGGGCAGGCACCTACTGGAAACGCAT